GCTAATAATAATAATAATAATAATAATAATAATAATAATAATAATAATAATAATAATAATAATAATAATAATAATAATAATAATAATAATAATAATAATAATAATAATAATAATAATAATAACAATAATAATAATAATAATAATAATAACACTAATAATAATAATAATAATAATAATAACAATAATAATAATAAAAATAATAATAATAATAATAATAATAATAATAGTAATAATAATAGATAGATAGATAGATAGATAGATAGATAGATAGATAGATAGATAGATAGATAGATAGATAGATAGATAGATAGATAGATAGATAGACTAATAACTATAGATTCACACATAGATAGATACATAGATGGTTTATTGAACTTTAGAACTTACAGACTCAGAAAATTTCACAGCTGAATTACGCTAAGTTTAACAGATATAAGATATTAGGAATATATGCTATGAAGCCTATTTACATTTAAGAATATTAAAAAAAACAATCGATTATCTAAAATATATATTAGAATTGAGCATGATAAAACTATCATTAAGTCTTTTTCGTTTTACACACAGGAAGTTCAAAATTTCTATGATTCCTTAAAAGGTGATCGTCAATATTTAATGGCGGAAGGAGGTCGTATAAGTTATGATGTGAGTTGCTGGCTATTTCGTTAAATAACTTCGTTGTTAATTTGTGTGTTCGATCGTTCAGTGACAAAATGTTCTTGGTCTCCAAGACATCTTTGTAGTGCATATCAGGAAAAATTATGCGAAAGGCACGTTTTTGAAGTTTTTCTAAGTCATCGGACAAGTACTGCGGCAGCGAGTTATGGGATACTTCGCACGCATACTCGACAACTGGACGAATACAGGTGATATAAAACAGGACCAGATCGTTGGGTGGCAGTTTGACACGTTTTAATTGTCTTAGAAAATATAGCCGTGTTGATCCCTTTTTACAAGTATTCGAAATATGAGTGTTCCATTCAGGGCCGTAGCGAAGGGGGGTATTGGGGGGGAGGGGTTAACCCCCCCCCTCCCCAACTTTTTTAGAATTAACATATTCGGAAAATCAGGTTGAACATTTGGAAAATTACGGCAGGATAATGGTATAACAAAATTTTAGTTGTTTAATTAAACAGAGAAAATATTATAAAATTGTATTGTCAGCATCATAAACTGATTTACAAAATCAGGCATTTACATGGATAACATTTAACAAATCATAGATCGGTAAATGTTTTTCGGTTTATTACTTCCCAGGGGCTCAGGGCCGTAGCAACGGGTGGGGGGAGGGGGCAGTCCTCAATATATCTTTAAAATACTGACAATTGATTAATTTTAAGCGGCTACTTTACCAGTTTTACCCATGACAAACCGCAAAGAATCGTATTACCCATATACGCCTTCGTCCATTTAGTTCTTCTAAATTGTAAGCAAATTAATTGTAAATTTCGACGTGCTAAAACTCTGTTTTCTGACCATCAGAATTCTGTCAAAACTTCCCCCAAAGTCCACGAAATGGCATTTCAGAGACTCTAAATTTAAAATTTTCCTCGGGCCTTCGGCCCTCGCCACCCCCTATAAAAAACAACTTCCTACGGAACTGCGCGCTTCTGTGCGGAACTGCACGCTTCTGTAATGTCTGTGCGTAAAATATGAGTATTTTTGTTTGTAAATTGCGTTTTCATTTTCCGGATAGCAAACACCCCCCCATGCATGCTTAGCTACGGCCCTGATACCAAGTTTACCTTATATTAAATTGCATGGGACGTGCTGTCATTTTAGCTTTATAAATAATCCGTCTGTCAAAGCGAAGGAATTGTGTTTATATAATTCCCAATAGCGAGGCCCTTCTTTCTAAGTTGGATGGCGTTAAATATCTGTGTATCATCAACGTGAAAACAAGCGCAGTATTTAAGGTTAGTATATTACAATGCATTTACACCCAGCATATGCTTTTGATTTTGGATTTCGATGTGGATCATATATTGACAGCGAATAGAATTGATGATGAACATTCAGATGATGAACATTGGTTCTCAGATGGACTTGAAGGTATCTTCTATTATTTGTATGGTTTTATAAATTTTTGCTGAGTGTGATGCCTGTTTGTATCTAGTTGTGGGTGGTTGTTTAATTAAATGTGCATTTAAAATTTTCATCTAAATATTGCTGTTTGTATATTTTTGCTAATTTTAGAGATGACAAATATGTATCAAATAATAATTTCCTAGTTATGATTTTGTAGAAAGAGATTTACTTGAGTGGTTGGCTGGTCTTGAACCTGTTCAAGATGTAGATGTTTAGCAAGTTATTAGTGCATTTATTTCAATTTGCGAACTTTTTTAGTTTTTCCAGCATTTTTTAAACAAACCATAGGTTATGAATGATAACTGGGTATATCTAATTAAACCAATTTGTCATGTACACTCATGCAAATAAGACTAAGTACATAAATAACTGTAAAAAATGTACTTTAGTAAATAAATGAATATTTATTCGTACACTTGACCTACTTTGTGAGTATTTTTTCAGATTAAAATTAGTGCAACAATAAAACAAGAAGATGTCTATTTATATAATATTTATTAAATTGATCAGAGATCCCACTTCAGCTCAGAAACCACTGCCAGCAGGGAAAGACCCCACAATAACATGCCACTTAATTTGTTATATGATACATAAAAACTTATTTTATTGCTTTAAAACAAGTGAAGCTCTCTGCTGGCTTGAAATGGGCTGTTATGATACTGATTTGTCCATGTTGAGGATTCCGCAGCTCGATTTGCCACAAAAACCCCAGTATCAGGCGATCAGCTCGTCTTGAAATACGTACACGATCCAGTCGCGTCGGCCAAAGACAACAAAACTTTGAAAATCGCACAGATATAAATTCTAAAAAAATATTAAAACAACTCCTAAGTCTTCTAAATAATATTTTAACACTTTAACAAAAATTCATTGAAAATATCATCTTTGATGGCGCATTTTCTTTCCAAGGTATTAGACGCCATATAGCGAACGTCGAGTTGACAATAGTCACTTCAACGGTCAATATCTCGAAAACTGCCGGGGGATCACCGGGATCATTCCAGCAGATTTAAAGCTTATACTTTTGTCTTGATGACTACCAAAAATGAAGAAAATCGAACCATGGGAATTCTAGATATTTCATTTTAAACATTGTAAACATATTTAGACTTGAGTCAACACGTTGCGGGGAGTCGACTAACTTCAAACATCAAAATAACATTGAAAATAACATTTACCTCAGAGATTTTTGCAGATATCACCAGATCTTTAGCAGTAGTACTACTACACTTGAAATTTTGCAAGAAAATTTTAATATTAATATTTTTTTCCGATTTATTTTCCGTCGAATGCAAATTTTTCTGTCTAAATTCTGCAGATAACACGATGGAAAATAGAGCGACCTCATTGGTCGAGAGCTCACGTGACAACTCGCTAATTGCTTGTCGTACCTCCTCTGCCAATTAACACTGTGATCCAGATTCTGGATCACTTCACACTATTAAGCATCGTGATTGGTGCGGTTCGATCTGAGAAACCATAGAAGTGTTCCAGAGGTTCTTCCCGCTCGCCTCCGCCCAGCTTGAATCCTCGTGTATCCCTCATTATCCCCCCTACGAGCGTGGAAGAACCTCTGGCACCCAGGGTACTATTAGGCCCGATATAAAATAAATTGATTCACTAAATTTTAAAAACTCCCAGGAGGCGGGAGGTTTATATTTTATATTTTATATCAAAATATTAAAATTTAAAAAATTGGAGAGGGAGGTCTTTTTATATTTTGCCTTGATTTTGATGCACTCATTCCCCATGCAGGGACCAACTCAACAAAAGCCATGGCGATAATATGGACTTTTGAAACATCATATATTAAGGGCAGATTGATGGATGGAGTCGATTTTCATTGAGCCCAATAATTTTTTAACCTGCTAAGTAATGCTGCTCGATCTTTTTCTGTTCTTCAAGATTCTTAAACGATTTTTTTATTTCGTGGGCACATATAAAAAAATTGCTTTGCTAAGAATTCGAACGGATGAAAACATATTATATAATAACTACAGTGAAACACGCAATTTGATTGGTCAACAGCCGTGCAGGATCAGACAACCTGCACGGGAAATTCTGAACAGAAATTATTGCATATAATTTTACAAATATACTCGCATTGTAAAGTTTCATTGTACGATACCTTTCGACTTTGAAGTAAGTTTCCAATTATTGAGACGTTGGTTTAGTTGTAATCTTCACTACTACTTTGACTGTCTGTTTAGCGGGTTTTCCATTTCAAATTTCGTATATTTTATCGAAAAAGTCCCTGTATTTTCGCTGTATACTTTCGCGAATTTGCGATCAAATTCTGTTCACACATGTTGTTGTTCGTCGAGTTGCATAGATTATATGGTCCATTTTCAGTGTCAATATATAATATTCACTAATCTGAATTGTTTGGAAAGATATCATTCGGCATATGAAATTAGCTATCAGGTTGATAGCATTTTGGTAATTGGTATAGACTTTGTCATTCGGCAATAGTCTTTATCATTCGGCAACAGACTTTGCCATTCGGCAACAGACTTTCTCATTCGGCAAGATATTTTTCGCAAACATCCCAGCAGTCTTTGCCCGATTAGTTTAAATTGTAAACACAGGGGGGTACGTGTGCACGTGCACCACAAACACCAAGATGGCGGAGAGACAAGGTGAAAACACAGAGCAGGATACTAAAAGACTGTTGGCGTGAGCAAGTTCCTCCAATGTCATGTTGAATAATTTCAGTCACGAATGAACATTTCCTCCAAGTGTGCGCGAAGGTCACACACAATCTGGCGAGGGCCTGCGGAATCTTGAAAAAATGGCGTCGGCGTCACGTCAGCAAGTAAATTGATACATAATCTTGAATATAAACATAACGATTCATGACGCTCAGCTCAGCTGAAACTCCAGTGTGCGCCGGGCTTAAGTTTTGAGCACACTGTAGTAAGAATATACGTATATGACAGTATAATTAATTTGGGATATTAATCATTAGCTTCTATAAGGTTTATTAATATGATTGCATAATTGAGATTGTAGTGTATAAATATACTGTACGTTTACACAATTTGTAACTTATATTCTCTTATAGAAAACTGAACATGCGTGTAGAGTTGACAAGCCAGGTACCATAACCCCGATATAAGCCCCCCGAATATAAGCCCCCCCCCAATATAAGCCTACCACATATACTGACGCTCACCTCATTCCAAATATAAGCCCACCCGAATATAAGTCCCCCAAATATAAGTCCCCCGAATATAAGCCCGGTAGCCCACTACGTTCTTCAACATTGGCATTGTCTTTTAATATAGCAGAGAACGATGTTTAAAAACATTGTCATTGTCTTTATAGCCGACTATGTTAATCAAAGCACGTTATTAATACATGTTTATTTTCCTGTTTATGACTGACTTGTTTATGTCTGACTCGTTTATTACTAACACAAAAGATCGTCCATGTATTAACCCCCCCGTTTACGAATTAATTGCTTACGAAAGTATATATATAGCCCAGAGCTTATAGCGGAGGTTTACGGTATCCTATACCAAACTACATTTTACAGCAGATGGCACGAATTGCATGCTAAAGCTTATGTAATTATTAAGAATTTTAGATTTAAATTTTGCCTATTGTACTCTTGTACATCTATTTCTCAAAATATGATTAAAGCTTTTATATTTTGTGCGCAAGCCATTTTTAGTTTGTTGGAAAAGTCATATATACTTGCTAAAATTACAATTTACTTGAACTCATGAAGAGGGACCCACGTGAGAAAAAAGTAATTTCCTGGCACCTCGCCAAAATTGGCGAACTGATTCAATGGTATTTTAAGACACTCGTTTGATTGAACGATGACCATATACGGACTCGTCCCCAGTCGGTATTTGAATTTCAGATTATAGGGACGAATACTTCGTGGCTTCGTATGCCATGAAAT